TAAAATTTAAAACATTACCTTATCTTCATCTAATACAGAGGTGTCGTATTCCTCATCGTAGTCACTAATGCATTCCCAGTCCTTGGCAAGTTTTGATACCTCGAGCCATTCATAACCAGTTTTCTCTGCTAACTGTTTGCAGAGGGAAGACTTCCCAGTTCCAGGAGTGCCTTAAAAGAAAACAATTCGTTAATCAAGACAAATAGGAAAAAACACATGGAGGTGCCTGAGTTCAGGAGTGTTGACATGCCCACATAAACCATGCAAACGACCGTGGAAGAAAGTGCCATACCTGTTATTAAGATGTTCGGTTTCGTACGACTCACAGCTGTCACAGGCATCTTGGTAGAGTTGCTTCTAGTTTCTTTTCTAGACTTTACTGCCAATGTTTTCGTCACACACATGCGGTGTTTGTATTTTTCGTTTTATTTGTCCATTCAACACCAATAGCAATGTGACGCCTCTGCACCCCAACGACGCCATCAACACGGCCGCACAAGGCGGTGGTGGGTCGAGGTCGAGGCGCGCCAAAGTTTGAACGCTTCCCAAGACCTTTCTCAAGCCAAGACCATCCCGCTACTCGTGGGCGCGGCGCCCGTCTAGAGAACTCAAAACTCAAGTGACGCGAGCCCGTTGGTAGTGGCTAGTAGCCGCTAGAAGTACAAATTGATGAACATTTTTGTACAAATTTCAGCACACCTGTCGAGGACTTACTCTACTGATACTTGTGAGTAAAAAAAAAATTACCCTCTCCCCCCTCCCCCGGCACACGTGATTTGATCAAACGTTTTGGGTGGGGAAATGAACCCAAACTCCTGAAACTGACGTCCCCTCCCCGGGGGAGGCATTGCTCCCTGAACCCCTGCTGGCTCGGCAGACCCGCACGGCATGGCTGCCCCGCGGGTTGGCCTACCCTCTGGGCGCCCATCGCCGCAGCTCCGCAGCTCCTTCCGCCATACGGCTCCACACCTCCTCTCTTTGTACCCGGGAATGTATGCCGTGTTAGGTCTTGCCGCAACTATGGGCACTGCTGAACAAGTCCAAAACTGAGAAGATAGTTAGGAATGTAAGTGACGATTTGACGTCGTTTATAGAATCGAAATAATGTTATCGTGACTTTTCATTTTATAATATTACCGTCGTCCCCCAACTAATTTGTGACACTTGGGCATGTAAAAAACAACCCCACCAGACAATACCAGTTCTCGTTGTTGAATAATTACATTTTTACATTTTGTGTTTTTTTTTTCTCGGGTGGTTGGCTTGCTTGTGTTGTTGTTGTTGTTGTTGTTTTTGTTGTTGCTGTTGGTACAGCCTCTCGCCGCGCTGCCGTTAGAACTGTATTGTTGTTGCTCGCAGCCAGGAAGGACCGTACGTTTCGGGTAGCGGTGAGCGGTGTGTTTTCACGCGTTTGCTAGGTCGAATATTTCACATCGGTGCTGTAGTTGAGCATGAACCTCGAACGCGTAGTGTTGTTCAACTAGTGAGAGTCCGTCCGTTGTGAACGCCACCTGCCGCAAAACCGAGACGAGCCGAGTAACCGCGGCGGTACGACTCACATAACCTCCGTAACAATGGCGAGGAGGCGCTTTTCGGACATTCGGCCCTTCTTTGACAAAGACCAATGGAGCGAACTTGGAGATTACGAGAAGAACAGCTACCAGAACTCGAAAGAAAACTACGAAGCCATGATCAAAGCAGGTGAGCATATACTTTTTTTT